ATATGTCATTTGCAAATATCTTTTCCCATTCCGTTGGTTGCCTTTTAGTTTTGTTGGTTGTTTCCTTTGCTGTGCAGAAGCTTTTTATCTTCATAAGGTCCCAGTAATTCACTTTTGCTTTTAATTCCCTTACCTTTGGGGACCAAACCTCACAATCTTAATGGACATAATGCTCAACCCAGCAAAATCATACAATTCCTCTAGAATAAATTCCTTCAGGAACAGCAAGTGTAGTAAAAGGAGCAATAAACTTAGATTCTTTTTCCTAGTTCTGTAAATATCTCCTTGACTAATTTGGGGAAACCCTCTTTCCTTGGGGAGGGCCTCAGCTTTTCCATCTGTAAAGTGATGCAAGTTTGAACTAGATTAGATTCAGTTTATGAGACATTATTGGTGTTTATTGTCAAATTCTGTGCCAACTATGGGGCGTAGAAAAATGGTTATGACACAATCCATGTACCAAGCTGTTCACCAATAGTTCTCCCGTCTTTCCTGGGCACATGGAAGACTAAACAGCCCAGTTCTGCTATCTAGAACCCTATGATTTGTGATGGCCAGTGAAATATGAACAGCACAGACCAGGATGAGTCAGGATGCCCCTATTAAATTTCTAATCTTTCTCTTCCGCCATGGAAGTCAGAGAAAAATCCCTTTTGCTGAGAAGGTAGAGCCTCAAATTTGAAGTTGCCTGTATCTCTGAATCCCTGAATGGAATGGCTGACAGCCGTCCTTGAGAGCTGCCCTGATCTGCCTCAGACTCTTCCATGAGTGAGATGTAAACTTTTGTTCTGATAATTGTCTGAGTTACCCACAACAGAGCCTACTGTTTCCTCACAAAGGAGACTAGTTATAAGGCAGGCAGGATACAACTATGTACCGTGGCATAAATAAAGTGCCCTTGACAGGGAAAGGGAAGAGGAATTAGTTATTTCTAAAGAAGTCGGGGAATATTCAGAAAGTAAAGAGGAGTGTGGCAGTCTGAATGAAGCAACTAGAAATTTAACATTGAGATGGCAGTCAAGGATAGGCCCTTAGGGAAAATTTAAGAATTAGATAAAGGCAAGGTAATAGAGAAAACTGAGAAGACAGAGGGGAAAAGAGAAAACCAAAAGGAAATGGTGAACTCAAACCCAGAAAGGAGAACATTCCAAGTCAGAAACGGTTTATAAAGTTGTTTCCTGGGAGATCATGAGATGTCATCTGAGAAGAGGCCATTTGATTTGAAATTATGGAAGTCTTGAAGACAATCTAGATTATAGTCATTTGAGAGATGAAAAGGAGGTAAGATATGCTTATGATAAAATATTAGAATAGCATTTATCACAGTTGGGAAATACTTGCTGCACAAAATGCTCCCCCAAAATGCGGAGAGGTTTAAGGTCAAATACATTTTGGACATGCTGCATACTTTATACCTACAAGGACATTTCTTAAAGATCTATTCAGAATTTTCTCATGAGAAAATGGGGGGGTGGGGGTGTGCGGGGGTAGTATTATTTACTTACAAACTGATAATACTAAAGCAAGAAAGCAAAAATAGCATCCTAAAACAAGTCCACAAGTGTTGATCAATAATATTTAGCTTCTACTGTCACTAACTTTTGTGTCAGTAAGCAAAATAAAATACATGACTAAGGAACAATTTGGATAAAATTTTAATTGAGTATGTTCTGAAAATAAAAGAACCAATAAAATATGTGTCACTTCTGATGTAACACATTTGTAGAGAAGTCAGATTGGCAGCCTGATCACAATGATGAGATGTCTGATTTTGGCCAATTTTCTGTTTTTTCTTAACATAATTTATTGTCAAATTGGCTAACATACAGTGTGTAAAGTGTGCTCTTGGTTTGGGGCATAGATTCCTGTGGTTCATCGCTTACATACAACACCCAGTACTCATCCCAACAAGTGCCCTCCTCAATGTGATTTTGGCCAATTTTCACAAGTTCCCTTCCTCTGATCTGTAAAACAGAAATAAGAATAATATCTACTCCAGGAGGTTTTGAGGGGAGTCAAAATAAAACATGGAAAGCACTTAGAATATTGCTTGGCACACAGAGAATGCTCAATAAATATTAACTATTATTATTACCATTACTATGAAACTTTTCATATCTCCAGCATTAAGCTGACATTTGGCAGAACTCAAAACCTGGGCTCCCTGATGAAGTGATGTTAGCAACTCTGGAAAGCATTAAGGCATAATTTACACACTAATAATCAAGAGTTGACAGAGAAACGATTATGTTTGGTTACTTCGATTTCATGTAGAGAAATCTGTACTTGAAAATGAACTGCCAATAGCCAGGATTCTTGCAGGAGAACAATACTTGTGGGATTTGCTTATTGTCCACGTGATTGCATGAAAATGGAATAATTTAATGCATATTCCTATCTGGGCTTCACACTTAAACACACACATGTTCCTAGCTGAGTGCATAACAAGTCTGTGCTTTTCTATCACCACCCTAATCATTGGATTAAATCGTTCCTCAAGGAATCTGTTTTCTGAAAGGATACTAGATAAAAATGTTTAGCCATTTTTATAATTAAAGGCAATTCTTTAAACCTTAACATGAATTAAAAACTCGAACATAAAGTCTGCTCTGAGGAAAATGCGATTATGTATGTTGCTACTGCCAAAGAATTTCCTCCCCGAGAACTTACACCCTGTGATTGTGTGGGCTGTGAACATCGTGAGAGCTTTCCTCTCAAACCTCCCAGACTGAGCATTGCCTCCCACACAGCTTTTTTTTAAAACAACATAGGATTTTTAACTCATTTTTGCCTTTAATGCCAGACTTATTCTGAGGTGATTTATGGAATCCAGCATTAAGCACAGAAAAAGTTGTTGAAGTCACCTCTCCCCCATGTTGCAGTAAAAATAAATAGCTGAAGCTATCTGCAAAACAATGGTCCTAGGTTGTGTAGATTTAAAACTCATGCTCTGAGAGCAGCACTGAATTCCCCTTAGAATGCCTTTGGAGATGGGTTTTTTATATCAGCCATCTGGGCTTTTTATATCTGCCAACCTCAGAAGGCATTTTACACATTCCCTGTCTGTCCAGAGAGAGGTCCCTGAAAGCCCATAATAATTGCGCTATGGTGAGAAGAGTAACCCAATGGTTCCTGGTTGCTATCTTCCACCTCTACTGAGACCATACAGACTCTTCTTTCCCTCTTCTGGCACCATCAAAGCCAAAAGGAAGGCAACCTGTTCACCTACATTTCAATAATTCTACCACAGGTCTCTGCTTTCCAAGGTGGAGAGAAGTGTTTTAGGAGAAAGGGGTGTCACCTCCAGTGTCCTGTTGTTATTATGTGAGCTTTCGAAATTTCATCACATTCCCTTCAATCAGCCCCACCAGAAATAGTCAACTGGCTGACTTTGAAGTTACAAAACCCTTTTAATATAAAGAATAGAGTAAGATCTGTCATGTGCACTTGACTCTTTCCACCACCAGCTTCACCTGGCCAATTCCTATTTATTCTTCAAGTCTTACGTGTAACGTATGCAGGGACACTTTCTGTCAACCCTCTCCCCCCACACACACCAGTCTATAATAGGTCCCTCTATACAGTGTTCTTAGAATTAGACATTTTCTTCATTGCATTTAACACAACTCTAAGTATGGGGTGATCTGTAATTGTGTTTTAGTGTTTTTCTCCCCCACTGGACTGTTTGCCCACCCATGGTTACTGTTGAATGAGTGTTGATCAAATGGATCATTGAGGGTAGTGTCTTTCATTAAAGAAGCAAGGCTGATGAGATTATGGCTGTGCTTAGATTTCAGTTGTCAAACAGAGGCATGATGAGGGAGAAATCGGGATGAGCCACTGCATCACTTTGGCATTTAGAAAAGCATTTAATCTAACTATAATTCATTTCTGGAGCCGGGCCCTTTAAATTTTAAATGAAGCAAATAAACACACAGATATCATCATATCCTTGGGAATACTATTTCTCCCCTGTTATTGTTTTCTATAACTGACCCAAAACATTAAAATGCAGTGCCTGCTTTTGTAGCCAAACACATAGGATCCAAAGTACCATTACAAAATAGCCCATTGAGGAGAATAAAAATTTACTACCATCTTCTATTTGTTTCCCTGATCAATTGCCTCTAATGGCTACTCTGTGCTATTCCCCTGCCTTCTCTGCTGTTGATGTCTTTCCGGCTGCCTCGTTTTCTACTTGGTGTCCTCTCTGTACTTCACATACTTTATCGTAGGCACACTCTCCACTGGTAGATTTTCCACTGTGTGGAAATCAGAGCACATCATTAACCCCAGACTGACCTCCTGCTCCTGACATTTACAGAACTGCCCAGAAGTGCCCCTCTCCCCTTACAGCTGGTCTGTGCTCAGAAAATGCAAGCAATTATAATACTGTCCTGAGGTAAAAACATAATTAGGAAATCAAATCACTGGAGGCAAAAATATCCAGAATAATGCTTTCCAAAGCCAAACATAAGTGATTTATTAAAAATTATCTGTTCTCATTTGTTAGGCCGTTTTCCAGAATTCAAAATCTCATTTAACACTTCTATCCTTACCTATGATGGCACATAAATGGTTATTTGAAATGTTGTTTATAATTATGAATTCTTGTGGTCTTACAGAAATCAAAATACCAAGAACAAATATATGCAAGGATAACAAAGCAGTTGCAAGCAAATGTTTTTTCCTCTAAATAGATTCTCAAAATTTCTTCTTACTGAATAAAATCAACGATGTAAGTGGGTTCTGCTAGAAAATATTAACAGGCCTACAAGCAAATTGATTCAATAAATACTTACCAGGTGCCTGGCATGTATCTGACACTGATGAAATACAAAACTAAGCCAATCTGTAACTTCTTTATTCCTCAGTATCTTCATCTGCAAAAGGATAATAATAATAGCACCTAAATCAAATATTTGTTGTATTGCATGAGTTAATACATGTGAAGGACTCGGGGAGGGCCTGGCATCTAGTAAAGGCTCAGGAATGACAGTTATAGTTATTTTTATATTATTGTTTTAATAGTAATTATAATTGTAATTAATTGTTTTAATTACTAATTTTTTTTAATTTTTTTTAACATTTATTTATTTTTGGGACAGAGAGAGACAGAGCATGAACGGGGGAGGGGCAGAGAGAGAGGGAGACACAGAATCAGAAGCAGGCTCCAAGCTCTGAGCCATCAGCCCAGAGCCTGACGCGGGGCTCGAACTCACGGACCACGAGATCGTGACCTGAGCTGAAGTCAGACGCTTAACCGACTGAGCCACCCAGGCGCCCCAATGTAATTACTAATTATTGTAATAATGAAGAAGACTCAGCCTAATGGCAAGACTTAAATGTAAGCATATAAATACGGACTTCCTGTGGTTGTTTTGGAAGTTTCTAGTGTTTTTTCAAACCTCATTTGCCTCTACAATATCACTACATGAGTAACAAGTCTGGTACAGATCTGACCGAGCATTGGACATCTCAGAGACTTTAAATGAAACCAGTAAACTAAGATCTTGCCTGACCTCTTCTTCCCCTTCACTCATTTCCAGAGAAAGCTTGGAAATACTTCTTTCTGGAGAAGGCCCAAGTTTCCAGCTCAGTCTATCCTGGATCACTTTTTGACTACCTTAAAGTGAGCCCGATTATCAGGTTAAACTCTGAACATAATTTGTTTATCTGTTCCTTTTATTTATTTTTTTATTTTTTATTTTTTTGGCGGGGAGAGAAGTGTAATCTATAAAATGGGGATAATTATAAAACTAACAAGCATTTCCATAATCCTTTGAACCAGACACTCTTGCAAGCACTTTCCATGTATTGTTGTTTAATTCTCACAATAACAGTTATTATCCCCAATTTACTGATGAGGAAGTTGAGGCACAGAGACATTAAGCAATTCGCCCAAAGTCACACAGTTAACCAGGATTTGAAGCCAGTCAATGCTCTTAAGTACAACAATATACTGGTGCTTATACTACTCTATTCCCACCTACATAATAAATTTTGCATTAGCCAAAACTTCTAGTGTTTTAAGGCCAGAAGCCTTAGGAGCTCCTGAGTGGAAAAAAAAAAAAAAAAAAGCATTTGTTTTGTCCTATTCAACGAAGTTTAACTGTGCAGTTCCTACAACTAAGGTTACCATACATCTAACTTACCCAGGACAGTCCCAGTTTGCACCTGTTGTCCTGGTGACAATTATAAACAGCACTCCCTTTCACTTTCAATGGCATCTTTCTGAATAATTTAAATTATATGTCTGGTCTCTAACTTAATATGTCTGAAAATGGGAAATGAATCTGTGTGTATATGTGTGTCTATGTTTCCCTTCAGATTTTGAATTATTTTGCTTTTTTTTATTTTGCTTTTGTTTTGTTTTTTGAGAGAGAAAGTGTGAGCATGAGAAGAAGAGAGGCAGAGGGAGAGGGGAAGAGAGAATCTCCATACCCAGTGGAGAACCCAACACGGGGCTAGATCTCACCACTGTAAGATCATGACCTGACCCAAAATCAAGAGTCAGATGTTTAACCAACCGAGCCACCCAGGAGCCCCTTGAATTCTTTACATTTAAAAGGCTTTTTTTAACATTTTTTTGAACTTTTTTTCATGAATTTGTCTCGCACAGATTTCTTCATTTAAAACTAAAGCATCCATCTTCGTTGTCCCCTGGCAATAGGGGTAGGGGGTATGAGGAGTAATGGGCCTTTCCACCCATGACACAAAGTGTTGACGATATGTCTAATTAGAACTCAGTTACTTTCCTATTTTTCTGTTTAGTTCATGAATTGTTGTTGAAGTTACCTTTATAAAAGTATTTGAATGCATCCTTTACCAAACACTATTAATCACTTTCAATTTGTCTCAATCTCCACATTGACGTATTCACTCATCTGATTATTAAGTAAGAGAAAAGCATCCTCTTCTGATGCATGAAATTTTCAGGGGTGGCTTCAAAGTTTTCATGCATTTTGGGGGTATATATAAAGTAACAAGTAATGGGTTTTATTTCCCCCAGTGAATTTTCATTGCTTCTTGTTCTGGTTTAGTAGTCCTTGATGCTGCTTTGTTTTATGACTTCCTCTCATCCTCTCTTAATCCAAAAATAAATAAATAATATTCACAATTATACCTCTTTTATATGACTTCTGGGTATCTACCCGCCACTTCTCATTGTTTTAAAAACAGAGTGAGTCTCCTGTTACAGATTAGAAGGAGATATCTGACTAGAACGCCCTTCTTGTCTTCTCCCTCTGGTAAAATCTTACCTATCCTTCCAAGCCCAAATTAAATATCTTCTCTTCTGTGAACCCTCTAGCCAGAATTAATTGCTACCCCCTCTGTGATACTGCAGTTTTGTTCATTCTGTATTATGATTTTATACTCATCTGTCACCTCCATCAGCTGCAAGCTTACTCAGAGCAAGGACTATATCTTACTTGTTTTTATATCTCTCCCCTGGCCTTAACACAAGGTCCGGAATATATATATTAAAAAATGCTTGATAATGAATAATACTTTATAGCACACAAAATTATCTCACATATATTATCTCATCTTAGGTCTATAGCAATATTATGTAGTATAAGATTATGAATCTGCACTTCATAGATGAAGAAACTGAGATCGATAAAGGATATGGAGAGAGGCTGTAAACCAGTCTATATGTTTCTAACTAATTAGATTTATACAAATTATACATGACCTAGTTTTCCAGGGCTTCAAAATCAATAACTTCGATTTAAGAACTATTTGATTTGACAACTTTTTCTAGTGTCCAGAGAAGACTTCTGAATTTTTTTTTCTGTTTTGAGTTTATAGTAACAGAGTTATCAGATTTGCTATAAAGTTCACCATGGCAGCTTCACTTGACACAAACTATAAGGACACACTATATACACAAGCCAAGAAAGACAGGTCTTGAAATTATATTCCCAAGTAGATTTCCATGAATTTTAGAATGGCCTCCAGAATTGACTGGCTTCCACAGAGCAGACCTTGGCCAATGTTCATGATGCCAGCCTACCAAGAAAATTTCCATGCAACAACAGACCACAGACAGCTAAGGCAACATGGGTAAGACTGCTCTCAGACCACTGAAAAGTTGTCTAAGCTCCCTTTGCAGTGGTCCCATCCTTTTCCTCTTAAATCACTCACTTACTTTTCTCTCTAAGGAGGTGGGGATGCAAGAAAAGACATTGACATAAATTTACACTTGACTCCTGAACAAGAAATAATGTGAGCTTACCAAATTTTCTGAATTTAATTACTAAATTTACTAAATATATATAACATTATACATATTAGATATGTATTAGGTACATATCATTAGATATAAAGATAGTATATATATTTCCTTCTCCATTCATTACTAAAATAATTTTTAGTCCAGAAACACAAAATAAATTAAGTATATAAGCAAAGGGAACAGAATCAGCAAGTTGAGCCTAAGCTACAGTGTGCCATGATCAGACTGAAATAAGACAAGTCAGGAGTGTTTGTTCTTTTAGCCAGTATTTACTGAGCACCTGCTATGTACCAGGCATGGTGCTACATGTTAGAGAGTTAGTATGAGATGAAATTGACATGGTTCCTGACTTCAAGAGCGTCTACTCTCACAGGAAAGCAGACTTTGAACACTTACCTGCAGTAAAGTCTAAGTGCTACTATTCAAAATGTCCACAGAAGCCTGAGGAAGTGATATTTAAGCTCAGACTAGTGGATAGATATGTTACTTAGATAAGGGAGGGTCAGGAAGATAGGGAAATGAGAATGTGCTTTTCAGGTAGAGAAAGATAAGTACACTAATGAGAGCCTACTGCCACATATTCTCTCTGATTAAGAAACACTAAATCTGGCTGTTTGAGTAACCACAAGAAATTAAGAATATAGGGAGAGAGTCAAAGCTCGAAGGGGTAGATAGAATATAAATCCTGGAGTACCTTAAGTCATGTTAAGGAGTTAGGACTTTAGAACATTCAAAACAATGGTATACCAGTGAAGTGAGAGGAGTACTGACATGATAGACCATTCATTGAGTGCTGGATGAAAAAAGGATTGGAGGAGGCAAGATTGGTGGTAAGGAAACCATCAGGGAGCTATTACCAAGTCCCAGTGTAATAGATTGCAAAAATGGCTATGAAATATTCCTCTCCCTCTATCCACAACCTTTGGCAGTGTCTTGCCACAGTGAGTCAGGGGCTCTGGATGACATTAACAAATACAGCTCAAGGGCCTGAAAAATACTTGTACATCGGGGCTTCTTCTCTTTTACTGCACTTAGAATACTGAGACCACCATGTGGATGAGCTAGCCTGTTGAAGAATGAAAGGCCACATGTGGAAAAGAATCCAGCACCCTGGTCAAAAGCCATACAGCCATGACCTGACAGCCAGTCCATCACCAGATATGTAAGTAAGGCCATGGTAGGTCATTAAGCCACAAGCGATCTCAGCAGATCACAGACACAAGAGTAAGCCCAGCAGAGCTTAGCCAAACTTGTCCAGACCTAAAAAACTACCCAGCTGGCACACATAATTGTGAGTAAAGTAAAATGATTTCTATTTTAAGTCACTATGTTATGGGAAATTTTGTATTGTGCAGCAAACACTAACTGATACACTTGGCAAGAGATGATTCTGGCCTGAACTAGAAGGGTAGTGGTGAGGACCAGCAGAAGATCATTGAATCAGGAGATATTTGGGTGTTTTGATCAAAATAACTCCATTATGTATGGCTTGGACCAATAGGTAGATAGTGGGTCCTACTAGCTGAACTAGAGGACAGTAAAGGAGAAAAAATATATAGGGAGGAAGATGGCAAGTACAGTTGAGAATGTGTAGAACTTCAGGTGATTCCAACAGGCCAACAGATAGATGGTTGGAGAACA